TCGTCAAGTGTAACATCTTTTCGCAAAAAGCATTCCATTCGGTTGTTATTTCCGCAGGAAGAATATCATCCCATCCGTAGGAAAATTTCCACAGTTTTTGCAGTAGAATTTTGAGAGATATCGTGATCGGAGACACCCATCCGAGGGGATCGAATATTTTCGCTATCGTCGAAAGGATTTGTCGTTTCGAAATGTCGGTAGATGGTGGACGGAATTTTATTTCAAAGGAAAAATTATCATCGCAAGGTGTCCAATGAATACCGAGTATTTTTAATTGTTCACCTTCTTGGAAAGGCTTGGAACTTGCTAGACCGTGATTCGCAGGATTTATATCTTGTAGAATTTCAAAATCGTTGCTGGCCCATTTTCTGAGATGAATGCCTGCGCTTAGTAAACAGCCGATTAGTTGGTCGCGTTTTTTAATCGTGGATGGTTTATCATCGCCTCCGGATAGGACATCGTCAACGTATATTTCATTTTGCAAAATTGCTTGAGCTAGTGGAAAACGCGAACTCTCGTCGATTGAAAGTTGTTTGAGCACGCGTTGGGCGAGATAAGGCGCGCAGGCAGTACCATAAGTAACGGTATTTAATGAATAAGTATGGACTGGCTCGTTCGGAATCGTACGCCACAATATTAATTGATATTGGCGATCGTCTGAATGAATCTGTATTTGTCGAAACATTTGCTGAATATCAGCGGAAAAAACGTATTTGTACAAACGCCATTGAAGAATAATCGCCGGAAGATCGGCTTGCAACTTTGGACCAATCATAAGATGGTCATTCAAAGAAGTGTTATTCGAGGTATTTGCCGAGGCATTAAACACTACACGAAGTTTGGTTGTAGTATTGTCCTCGCGAATAACTGGATGATGAGGTAGAAACGTCGGTTGAAAGAAGCGTTGCACGTTTTCGATTTTTTGCATATGCCCGAGCTCTTCGTACTCGTTAAGAAAGTCGACGTATTGCCCTGAAATTTCCCGAGAATTGGCTAAACGTCGCTCTAGTTGCGCGAGTGAACGCGTAGCTACTGACCTTGACTCGCCGATTTTATCGGAGGACCAGACTTGAAGGGTAAGCGGACAACATAGCGCCCTGAAGAATCGCGCATATGTGTCTCTTGAAAATGTAAGTTGCAACGAAGATTTTCCTCTGAGAGAGCGTGTGTCGTTGGAATTTCTTCCAGCTCCCAAAAACGTCGGAGTTCGAAATCGAGATTGCCAGAAGTTGCTTGGTGAACGTGAATTCTTTGGCTATTTTTTTGGTTTGAAATAGGACCCGAAATGATCCACCCGAATATCGTTTCTTGCGCAAGTGTAGCATCGTTAGAAGCTTTCATTAAGCCACCCATCATAATTGAACCGTATAATTCGGCCCCGAGAAGTACTTCGATTGCATCATTTGAGCTTGGATTTGGATCGGCTAGATTCAATTTGGAAAGAAACGGAATCTCTTGTAATTGGAAATGAGGTGGAATGTACGCTGTAATTTTTGGAACGACCAATGCTTTGGTATGAAGAATCGTATCATTTTTATTAGTCGCGCTGATAGAAATAGAGACGGCATGTTGAACGCAATTAGACGTAGTGTCACCGATGCCAGATACCTTTACGCGTGTTGAAATTAAGCGAGCTCTCAACATTTGAGCGACTCGTGACGAAACGAATGTGGCATCGGAACCTTGATCGATTAGTGCTCGCGTGTAAACATGTCGACCGTTTTCTGATCCTATACAAACACGTGCGGTAGCCAGGAGCACGGGTTTAACTCCCGCGTTCACGTGTGAATGTACGTTGGACGCGTTATCGCATTGTCCAGAGTCTGTTGTTGTCGTTAAACTTGACCTTGAATTCTCGTGTAACAAAGTATGATGTTGTCTTTTACATTTCAAGCAAGTAAAGGAACTACGACAATTCGAAACGTAATGACCTTTGGTCAAACAATTTTTGCATATATTATTTTTTTGAACAAACTCTAGTCGATGCGAAATGCTTAACGCTTGAAATTTCTCGCAATGCATTAAACGATGTGTTTCGGAACAAAGAGCGCACGTACTCGCGGTGTTTGTATGGTGAGAACGCACTATATTATTTTTTCGTGCCGCATTTGGAATCGAGCGAGCACCGGAACTCTTTTCGGATGAGTTTCCGTTGGCGGACTTCGAGTTATCTCCGTCCTTGGATACAGCCTCAAGCGAACGAATTTGTGTATCTAGAAACGCGTATAGTTTTTCCATCGTAGGATATCTCCTCTCTGAACCTAAGCTGACTTCCCAATCTTTTCTCGTCAATTTGTCTAGTTTTTGTACAAGAATGTAGACTAAAATCATATCCCATCCATCTACAGAACATTTCAAGGCACGCAGAGCATTTATCGATTCCGATGAATTGGAGCGTAATTGTTTTAACCCGTACAGATCGTTAGACGAAACATTAGGAATGGTAAATAAACGTTTGAAATATGCGTCAATAATAACGCGTTGATTTTCGTAACGATTCGTGAGTTCCTTCCATGCAACATCGAAATTACTATCGGTTAGAGAAAGATGGGAAATCAACTTAGCAGCGTCGCCAGTAACCGCGGATAATAAATATTGCAATTTCTCGACTTGCGATATGGAACGGCGATTTTTAACGAGCGCAAGAAACAAATCGCGAAACGTTAGCCACTCGGTTACATTACCGGAGAAAGAAGGCAAGTTGATCTTCGGCAATCGGATCTCGTTGATGGACGTCGTTGCGGCCGCCGTTGGTACAGGAATGGAAATTGAAGCGACGTTGAATGCCTCGAGTTTTTCTTGAAAGAAGTCGTAGGCTTGCATGTACGAGACCTCCGCCTTGTCTAGCAGCTTGCTCTTGAAGAAGGGAAGCTGTGCCGCGTCTGCGTCGGTTGCTACTGCCTCAATGATAGCGGCATTCTCCTGGCATTTATTCCAGTAATTTTGCAAGAGTTGAAATCGTCCTTTAGTGATGGCATGAGTTTGATTATCAACTCCAAGCTTTTGGAAATTCGTTATTGAGTTCGTTAAATAACGTAAATTCGTATCGAACGCAAATATTGCCTTGTCCATTTCGATCTATTGTCTTGCAGAGCTCGACCTTGTAAGGTAAACACGGTGTTGAAATGGAGAACGTATGTACGTGAGTCGAAATACTTCCTTGTCGTACGGAAATTTTTACTCGGAATGTAGCGCAATTGTTGAATGGCTCACTTGAAGTAGTTGCACTGCTTGCACGTGTATCTTGTTTGAATCCATCCGTTAATTTCTCGACACAGATCCGGCTCGAAGGACCATGTTTTGTATATTTTCTCCTTTGGGTTTTATCGGAGCTATCGCCTAGTTCTCTCTTGTGGACTGCGTCGATAGGCAAGGATAGATAGCAGGAACTAGTCTCTTTATTCTAAGTAAGAATACGTAATTTTCATTCTTCGGATCACAAATGTTCTTCTCGGGTTTACCGGACGGCTCGTCGTACCAGACTCGCCTTCCGTGCCGCATCGCTCCTTTTTAAAGACGCGGAAACTCTCTCCTAATTCGGCGCTTCGCCCTTGTGGACGCAATAACAAACTGTCGATGTACACAATTACAGAGAGCTCTCAGGAGCGTATATCGAAGGCGCGCGGGGATCACGGAAATTTAATTTTTTCCCAAACAGTCTTTGAAGCTTCAAATTTAAAATATTTAAATGGTTAGTCAAATCAGTAATAAAAGCGAGCTCACTGAGAAATTCTAAATCTTCTAGAAAAAATTTATATTCGTCGCATTTTGCAACAGATATTTCTTGCAAGAAAAGGAAGATTTCTTTTCTTATTGCAAAAAATTTCTCTAAACATTTTCCGGCACTAAGCCAGCGGACCTCGCAATATAAAGGGAGATCGGTATAAGTTGCGTTATGCTCTTCGAGAAAGTGTTGAAACTTGCGATGGGAAAGAAATTTATGACCACCTTTAATAAAATTAACAATTTGCGTTACCGTTTGCATAGCACTACTAAGTTTAACAGCTTTCCCGCATAACGCTTCTTGATGAATAATACAATGAATCATCGGAAATTTTAAATCTCGCTGTCTGATCTGACCGAGGAATCCATTTTTTGAACCTGTCATCGCTTTGGCACCATCTGTTATTATAGACGAACATTTTGTAAAATCTAAATTAAATTTATTGAGAGTTTTTTCTACAGCTCTGAAGATATCTATACCCATAGTTGTATCATGCAAAGCAACAAAGTCTAAAAGCTCCTCGACACATGAGAAATTGTTTTGGACGATTCGAATAAAAATACTCAACTGGCTCACGTGTCGATTATCGGTGCTTTCATCAAGACACAATAAGAAGTACGAGCAAGTTGCTAACAAAGATTTTAATCTATCTTCAATAGATAATGCAATATTAGTAATTCTACGTCCTACTGTTTGATGGCTAAGCGGAATACTCGTAACTTCGTCAACTGTCAATTTACCGTCAAAGGATTTTACTGTCTCAACGAGACAGTTTTTTATAAATTCACCATCACTAAACGATTTGGAATGCTTCGCGATGAGGAACAAAATAGCGTATGATGCAGCCAAAGCTTTTGCATTATTGTTACCGGCGTTAGAAATTAATAAATCAGAAGAATTATCTGCCTGATAAACTAATTTTAAACCTTCAAGAATTTTTAATTTTTCCTGAGACGTATAACTAGAATATTGTCCGGAATGTTTGACTCTATAATGTCTTTCGAGATTGTATCTTTTTACGACAGACGGCTCGTAACCACAGAGAACACAAGTTGTTCGATTGCGAACAAAAACGAAGAAAATATCTTCCCATATTCTATCATACCTCTGTTCGTAGTTCTGCTTACTTCCATCAGCCATCCTTCAAATAATCGATGAAATCTTGAAATTCTGAGCACTCTCTCGCAGGAAGACGTTACGCTGAGACACGCTTTGGAGTAAAGAATCGGTTAAGACAAATAAATAACGGTTAAACAATTGCGTATAATCTGGCCGCGCAGACTTTGCGTGGGATCCGTCTATCCAGCATAGCACCGATAATCGACACGTGAGCCAGTTGAGTATTTTTATTCGAATCGTCCAAAACGATTTCTCATGTGTCGAGGAGCTTTTAGACTTTGTTGCTTTGCATGATACAACTATGGGTATAGATATCTTCAGAGCTGTAGAAAAAACTCTCAATAAATTTAATTTAGATTTTACAAAATGTTCGTCTATAATAACAGATGGTGCCAAAGCGATGACAGGTTCAAAAAATGGATTCCTCGGTCAGATCAGACAGCGAGATTTAAAATTTCCGATGATTCATTGTATTATTCATCAAGAAGCGTTATGCGGGAAAGCTGTTAAACTTAGTAGTGCTATGCAAACGGTAACGCAAATTGTTAATTTTATTAAAGGTGGTCATAAATTTCTTTCCCATCGCAAGTTTCAACACTTTCTCGAAGAGCATAACGCAACTTATACCGATCTCCCTTTATATTGCGAGGTCCGCTGGCTTAGTGCCGGAAAATGTTTAGAGAAATTTTTTGCAATAAGAAAAGAAATCTTCCTTTTCTTGCAAGAAATATCTGTTGCAAAATGCGACGAATATAAATTTTTTCTAGAAGATTTAGAATTTCTCAGTGAGCTCGCTTTTATTACTGATTTGACTAACCATTTAAATATTTTAAATTTGAAGCTTCAAAGACCGAATCAAGTTATTTCTCAATTAGTTAGCGCCATTGATTCTTTCCGTAGACAGTTATTATTATTTAAAAATCATATAGTGACAGATAATTTACATTTTTTCCCATCTTGTCAAGTTCTTTTCGAAGAGCATGGCAAAAGTTGCAATTTTCAGAAGCATCTCCAGTTAATCGATTCACTTATTAGTCAATTTAATACACGGTTTAGTGATTTTGAAATGTTGAGAAATGATCTTATTCTTCTCGAGAATCCTTTTACTGCGCAAATCGAAGAGCAAAATATAGAATTGCAACAGGAACTTTGTGATTTACAATCTGAACTTTCCCTTAAAACGCGACCGGAAAAAGGAATAGAAGTTTTTAAAATTTTAGACGTAGCGACTTATCCGAGGCTTAGAAATTTCGGTCTTCGATTTTTTTCTATGTTTGGCTCGACTTACTTATGTGAATGCTCTTTTTCAAAAATGAAATATATAAAAACCGACAGACGCTCTTGTTTGAAGGATGCATCATTATCTTCGTTGATGCGAATAAGTACTTCAAATATTGAAATAGATGTTCCATCTGTTATCGAATCGTACGAACGGCGTAGTCGCACAAAATTTTAATTTTTGATTTTTCTATCGTTTTTGCTCATTTCTTAATTCTTCTTTTTAAGTGGACTAGGCCTACAGGGGAAACCACTATAAAAAAAACGCGTTAACAATAGTACCTCATGGGTGACGTGGAAATCTATTGCCACAATTATTATAAATATAAATATAATCTAAAAATAAACATATATAAATAAAATATAATAAATAATTAATAATAAAAATAATAATTAAAAAATCGCGATTTTAAAATATTGAAAATATTTAGTTAAATTTAAAGTTAAAGAAAGGGTACGGAACGGCATCGCGTTACAGATGCATCGTCCCTGAGACGGAGCGCCGTGCATCTTAGTTACGGCTATCGGTCAACGCGTTGCTAAGGCCTCGAGCGCGAGTGGGGGTCGCTGGGCGGTGAATCTCGGAAATCGGCCGAAAAGAGCAAAATGTGGACAGCTCTGTCATAAAGAGACACATTTATATATGTATGTTTTATTGTCATTGACACGCTTAGATGCGTGTGCGAGATGATTTGACAGTAAAAATATATTATGTTGTCTGATTTCAATATGTTGAACACACTAAAATGGCTTTTTGACATATATATATTACTGTCGATAATAGCGGAATTAAAATTGTCGGTAATTATCGACAATTTTAGTTCCTCTCAAATGAGGGCGCTAACCCGTCGGAGTTCGGCCAACGCTCCGGCATCCCCTTAATAAATAATTTACTTTAAGAGAAACACAAAACCAATTGTAATTAAACTAAGGTTCAATAACGGCTCTGTAATATAAATCTAAATCATAAGGAAGGCGTAAAGAGCCATATGCGGATGTTTTCTACGTACATTTACAACGAAACTAAATTTTCGTTGGAAACAAAGCGTGCGCAAGGCACGTATTATTCTCGGTGTACCAACCAAGACTTTAAAAATTGAAATAATCTCTTACTTGTAGGCGTATCTTTTATACTGAACTGTAGCCGTATCTTTTATCGAATATCGAATCGATCAATTAATTATTGATTATTGAAATGTAGGAATGCAGGGGAAGGCCGGATGAATTTAGTTGAATCAGGAAAAGAAGTCAGGTTCGGAAGATATATATATATATGTATTTATTGCGAGTCGAAAATGCCTTCGCTGTCCAAGTCCCGTTTCTATTCTATCTTCCTTTCTGCCGCCTCGATATTAAAGATCGTCTGCCGGTTCGTGAGAGAATGCGTGCTTGTATCTCGATGAAACGCTCCGAAGATGATGTTCTCAACAACGATGTCCGTTACTCAAAATCGCCGGTACTTATACCGCTCCTAATTTTATCCCTTCCCGTCAGGCTCGGGCCAATCGCTAAGCGACAGCTAAACTTTACTCGGATTTTGTTATTCGAACGGTCGCGTCTGTTATTTTCTAAGCCGATCGCTTTCTCTCACTGTCGCACACGGTATAATAAATACAAATAATCAAACCCGAGGACAAAACGACAAGACGCACTCGACAATAACGTGACAACGCGACACGTACAATACATCCTGAAAAATAATAATGATCGCACGCTTACATACTTGAGATTTAATTTCAAAAACACCCTAACCCCCCTGCAAAAATAATTAAATAATTGTAAGAGAAAAATATAGATCCGAAAGTCGCTGAATCGGGAATCGAACCCGAGACCTTTCGCTTGCCGGGCGACTGCTCTTTCATCTGAGCTATGCAGAACCTTCGATTCTATACCTTTCTCTGCTTACATATACCCTATAACGCTTATTCGCCGGTGTGTGTATAAACAAATTAAGGTTCAATAACGGCTCTGTAATATAAATATAAATCTAAATCATAAAGAAGGCGTAAAGCCATACGCGGATGTTTTCTACGTAGATTTACAACGAAACTAAATCTCAAGTAAGAGATTATTTCAATTTTTAAAGTCTTGGTTGGTACACCGAGAATAATACGTGCCTTGCGCACGCTTTGTTTCCAACAAAAATTTAGTTTCATTGTAAATGTACGTAGAAAACATCCGCGTATGGCTTTTTACGCCTTCCTTATAATTTAGATTTACAATTATAATTAGATTGTATAATAGACAACAATGTACCAAATCTGCCATTAATAACATGTGGAGCATTATATTGCAAGAGAATTTCTGCATATGTTGAAATGAATCGCATAGTGGCTTTTTTAAAATAGTGTCACATGTCATATTTTAAAATTTTCTAACTTTTCAAGTTTTACAAATCAAATAGTAACGTTCTTTTAGATCTTTTACTTTTCAAAGTCCGTGGCAATCATGTATTATATTTCTTGCATCTTACAACAGTGCTCATATAGAAGTAGTTTTAAAATAATGATTTTAACAGTTGTCATGTCCTACTTCTATAAAAATATCACGACCAACATTCAAGTAAACTTTAATTATAGCTGTTCTTTGATACTATACTAATTATTTTGATTACTTAGACCCTGCGCACATTGGAGAAAATATAAGGAATAAATATTAAATATCAGGAATAGGAATTATTTTAAAATAATAAAAGAAAAAACTCTGACACACACATACACACACACACACACACACACAAATTTAGATATAAAGGACTCTTACTAATTAATAGTCCCTCATACTCGAATTTGTATTTTTATATCAGTTTTTTTATTTTATTATTTTAAAATCATTCTCATTTCTAATATTTAATATTTATTCTTAATATTCTTTATGCTGTGTGCAAGATCTGAGTATTTTGCTTATTATATTAATTTTTATAAATTAATATTACTGATATTCTACACTTTATTCCTCTCGACCAATAGAGCCTAACGCGATGTTATTGCGACAATTAAGAAAGAAAGAAATTTTTAGAAACTAAGGAATTTGAATCCTATGGTTGGGATCTCAAAAATTCCCCTTGTTCTTTCTTTTAACATCCCCTGTAAAGAAATAGGCGAGAAAATAGGGATTCAAATTCCTTAGTTTCTAAAAATTTCTTTGTTTCTTAATTGTCGCAATAACATCGCGTTAGGCTCTATTGGTCGAGAGAAATGAAGTGTAGAGTGTGGTTTTAAAAATTAAAAGAGCTGACTTATAAGTATTCTTATTATTACTGATATTATTTTTTATTATCAATTTATGTGAAGGTAATATATTACTCTAATTGTAAGTTTATTCAATATTTTTATTTTCGGGCAAATTGTTCAACCACTGTTGCACATATGGGTAAGGCTGTGGGAACTTAAATTTTATTGGCTTTGAATATGTCAAAACCAAATTCAGATAAATCATCTCACGGCACGACGATATCAGCGCATGCGTATTACGGATGATGGTCAGTCACTACCTTTCTTTCTCGCACAGCTCTTGAATGCAGGCTTGATGCTCAATTCCCCTTCCAGTGAATATATGTTGTAAGGTGCATTCAATTATCTTTGTACAATCCATCAACATTTTTAAGTTATGATTTTTAGGTTAAACTTAGGACAATATTACTTACCAGCAAGCAATCCGATTAAAGCATACCATTTGTGCTCTTTTCCATCTTCACTGCCGTGCGCAGTGTTAACGGTGTACAATTTTGTCTTCTCAAAATCAGTTAAAGACTTCGAATTGAATGCTACCCGTTCACCTTTTCCGATTTTTATTTTGATTTTATGCACTGGCAGTACCTCTGTTTCATTGCCACTTTTGTATTTCACTAACGCATACCACCCGGAATTGTCTACTTCACTCATAATGAAGATTAAAATAAAACACAACTTATTAACACCCGAAATTGACTAAAACAAATTCACAAATATTTTCACTCGCAATTTTACGTGTCTGCCTCACGCATCGACATTTAGACTGGACTGCGCATCACGACAGCTAAGAGGGCGCCCGCTATCGAGAGAGAGAGAGAGAGAGAGAGAGAGAGAGAGAGAGAGAGAGGTTAGGTTAGGTTATGGATTCACGTGGTGATCATTGCTCGTTTTCCTGCCATCGTGTGTCTTCTTCTCTATCTCAACTGCCTGCGTACAATAGACTCGACAAATAAATGAATCACTGTTTCCTGAGAAACATGGTAAAAAATTTTTTATGTATAATCAGATATAACAATATAAAAATTATTTAGAAACATATAAATTTCTGTATAAACTATCTATAATTATATATAATTTTATATGACTTATTATAAATATATATATATAATTATACGTAGTTTATACAGAATTTTATATATTTCTATATAATTTTATATTGTTATATCTGATTATCCATAAACAATTTTTTATTGGGAAAAATCGCAATCACAAATATAATCGTAGTGTGATACATTTGAAATTCTCATTGTAGATATTGTTTTCTGTACTTTACTAATTTAAATTGAAAGCATAATCTGAAATAAGACGTTACAAACGTTTTTTGTACACTGAGAAAAATATTCCTCGCTCTACCGCTTATCGTCGGCGACAACGAAATGCTCAGGTATATCAAAACTCACAATTTCTAATTAGGTCACATTTTCAATGAAAAGAAATTTTATACTTCAGAATTTCCACACAAAAAATCAGTTGATTCATATTATTTTACTTTGGTTTGATATCAAATATGTATTAAAATTTAAATATTGTACCAATCATTTTTAAGTAAAGATTAATTATATTATATACTTGTGGGTATATTGTACAAAAAGTCGATCTTTCCGACTGTGCTTTTAATTTATGTATTGCAACGTCTTTTCCTGCTCCGAAACGCCAAGTTCGGACAGGGAAGCGTTCAATTTAAAGATTCCCCAAGTTTAACTGATGAAACGGTAAAAATCGGTATCAGAAGAGTTAATTACTCGCACTTAGGGGCGTTCATTAACTCACGGTAAAGTTAGGCGCTAGGCGCATGTGAATGCGCCACGGGACTAATGTGAACGGTACTTAAGTTAACTTCCCCAGATGTTATACAGAGTCGCGGGTCTATAGGATTGTTGGGTCTATGGTTGAGAGAGAGGTATAGAGAGACATACACGTGGTGTTATAATTTGACAGATATATATATATATTTGACACTTAGGATTTACAATTTGACATCTGATAAATACAATTGGATAATATAATTA